CAGACCTCCCTGTCCCGTAGCGGGCATGGGCGTCCCATGGGACTGATGAAAGACCGATGTGAAGTGCCCATTTAATAGGTTGGCTTTTTCCTGGGTGTCAGTTGTCAGTTGCCCCATCTGGTTCAGCAGGGGGTCCAATGCTGCCCTTGCTTTTCCTCCGGCTCCCCACATATCTGAAAAAGGACTTTTTATTGTCCTTGATGCTCGAAGCTAGTTGGAGTGCAGTTTCAGCCTTGGCTTTCCTGGTTTGCTCCCTGCAGGACCAGACCAGTACAGAATAATCCTCCTTGAAGGTGAATCCCATCCTTTGTAGGCCTTTCTTTTTAGCCTCAGGAGGTCAGCTAGATCCCTGGAGAGCCGGGGGGCTGCTGTGCCCTCTTGCTGTCTTTCCTCTGAGACAGAAGAGCCTTCCTGATGACACCAGTGCTGCAGTCTTTGGTTGACTTTGTGGATCCTCCTCTCCCTCCTCAGCCCATAGCCCGAGACTGGGAGGATCGACGAGAACACCACCTGTGCCCCCAGACCCTTTAGCCCCGCTCCCAAATAAAGGGGCGGAGTGGGAAAGAGGGGTTGAAATTGAAGGAGGGGAGAGAATGGCAGGGAGAGAGAAAAGAACTTGAAAATAAAATTAAATATGGGTTAAAACAGCAGTTGACAGTGCTCATTTGTAGAGGGCTGCAGTGACCCAGCTTGGGTCTGAGGCAGGCTGTGGCTAGGACCTGGCCACTGTTGCTGCGGCTACTTCTCCTGGCTGTGATATGGGTTAAACTTCCTGTCACCAAAGATCCCCACCACCAGAATGCTGCCAAAGCCCCCCAGCTTTGTGGGCTGGATCTGGCCTACAGGCTGTGGATTACCATCCCCTCAACTACAAGCTGTAACTGGGAAAGAGGAAAAAAGAGGAGGGATTGAGGAAAAAAAGGGAGCTGTGATCAGAAAGTGAGCCCAGGGTATATGTGCTGCAAAAGACAGATCAAGGGTCCTGATCTGAAATCCTATTCATATCAATGAGAATATTGTTTCCTATTGCTTTCTTTAGGGTTCCAAATTAGGCAATGAAAGAAATTGTCTGACAAGGTAGCTACCCACTCTTTTTCTACTTTTGCTTTAGGTAACTCAACAATGTTATCTGAGCATTAGTAGTATTCTGTGGGCCTAGAAAAGTGCAGAAATAACTTAAATGCTGAGGTAAGATTGTGGATATCTCTTTGACAGTCATTATTTTATGGCCAGTCGTGTTAGAGGTGAATCAGAGAAATAGGAGAAAATAGTGTCTTGTGTTTTTCCGAAATTTGCTTTATTTGGTATTTAATATACGATTAAAACATGGGTTGGCTTTTCTGTGACATTAAGAGATAGGATTTGGAACGCTTTTCCATGTCTTACCTGGGCAAATGGCACCTGGCCTTTTTGCAGATGCTATTGCAGGTCCTCATCTTCTCAAAGACATCATATACCATAAGACAGCAGAGGTGGACAGTGCCAAACACTTTGGGAAGTGTTCTTTTGTTAGCACAACTGTGGAGAAATCACCCTTAAAATAAACATTGTTATGCATGTATTAAAGGTGTATGTGGGGAGGTGAGTGAGTGAGTGAGTGAGTTCGTTGGTGGAGCGAAGTAAATGCTAACCTAGACTGTGAAGAGTTAGAACGTGTAGACAGTGTATTAAGTCAGTATGTTCATTCCTGACGAAGTTGCCTTTGGGATGAACTGCAGCTGTTGTGTTTGGTGTTTCCCAACTGATACAGCTTCTGAGCAATGAGGTGAAACTTAGAAAACAAACTGATAAACAGAATAACTATTAATGTCACTGAGTAAAGTGTCGTTTGTGACGTTTCCTTGGGTACAGTTGATGCTTATCATTCGTTATGCAAAAGTTGTTAACGAACAGCTGGTTAAACAAGTCCTACCCTAACATAGTTCCCTCGTTTACAACACAGCATATAACAATTCATTACTCTCCTGCTCCTGAGAAACCAATGTTTCTTGTATTTTCTTCCTCCACCATTCAGACTTTCCTTTTTTATTTTGAAGGAACTATAAAACTAACTTGGATATGAATTGAATGTAATACCCAAACTGGGTTTAAACTTTTTATACAATACTACACCTGTTCGATATTGTACTTCATTTTCATATTTCTTGAGACAAGAAATGGCTCCCTTGCTTATAAAGATATTCAGGGAAGTACTTTTATCCATGTTAAATTATAAAGGTATAGCATCCTGTGGTCCAAAAAGCAGGGCTGTATAGTGAAATTTGCAGGGAATATTAACAAATAATCTGTGTAGATGCTGTCCCTTTCTGTGCTGTAGCTTTATGTGTCTATACAAAAAGGAATTTGCATTATTCATGTTGTACACTTCTGAGTGTTTTTCTGGGGTGGGTAGGATCTTAGAACCCTGAAGATCCCTGCTCATTTTCCCATTTTGTAATGTATACATTTTTTGCCACCACAATGGGCCAGCTTCCTCTTAACGTGGCTGGGTGTGGTTCAGTGGAATGCATCGGTGCTGGTTCTGAGTCAGACAGGAGGCATTATGTTATGTAAAACGGCTCTGGCCTCTACCAAGTTTTCCTCTCGAGAGCTGAACAATTTTTCTGCTCAGCCGAGAGATCAAGAGGTTAATTCTGCAATGAATGCCTCTTGTGAGGTATTAAATGTCTTCAATTCCCCTTGAAGCCAAAGAGAGTTGTGGCCAGTCATCATTTTGCATGAGCCGTTTAGAGCCTTGTGAGAATGGGCTTCCTGTTTCTATTCTTGAATTATGGTCTTTTTTAGCTGCAGTTTTTTTACATTATATTGTAGGCCTGGCCCATAGCTTATTATTTTTGATTATTTGATTCTAGAAAGTCCAGTTTGCAAAAGATAGCAACTGTGTACTCTGAATACAGATACCGTTTGCCATATGCTCGGGTGTCCTAAGTGCGTCAATGGTAGAGCCCAATTAAAAGCCTATTGAAGACAAGACTCCTCTTGGTACAGTGGACTTTTGGATCAGTACTCTATCTGTCATTTTATCTTTGAGATATACTTATTTCTAATTGTTTCAAATCTGAAGGTAAATCCCAGACTCAAGTGACAGGTTTTGCCTAAGTCTTGAGAGAGAACTGCAAGATGTTATCCTTATTTTTCCAGAGAGATTTAAAAATATAGCTAGATAAAAGTTCCAAAAGTGATAGAGCCTCTCTCATTCCCTCTAATTCAGATCCTTTCAGTCACGGCCACGTTATTTGCTGTCTCCTGATGGACAAGCTTTCCTCAATTTGTGGTTCATCCCTCACTCTTCTGAAGTGCTGATTATGTTTAAAATGCTGCCAGAGAAGGTGAGTATTTAGAAACCAAACATACAGAGAGATTTTGTTTTCCAATTTGAAGCATGCATCTGGAGCACAGACCACACTTTTCACACATACTTTATTAATCATTTCTCATGCCCAGCACAGGGAAATAAATGGACTGTTGTGTGGTGATCTGTTGAAGTGGCCTGTCAGTTAAATATACCTGACATTAAGAAGAAAGGTTGTATCTCTGGGGATTGACTTTTTGGGATATAGAAGTGAGAGTAAAAGGATAGAGAGGTAATATCAGATAGTTCAGTCCTTTTTTTAAAAAAATTGAAACTAGCCATGCTGGGTCCCCTTTCCCTGGAGACAAGAATGCACATCTCTGATCCTTTTCTACCACTGCCCATCTGCCCATATCCTCCCCATCATGTTGGCAAGGGAGGGAAGGTGGCAGGGCTCATGCTTGAAAGCCAATTGGGTTAATTCTTTCTTTCGTTCTTTCATTCTTTTGTTCTTCTCTGACTGAGGGACAAGGGTAGGAATCAGAAGGCACTAGGAACAAGTAATGGCAGTAAAAGGTATTTGCTGAGGTAGTTGTACAGAAAGGTTAGTGGAGGGTGATGGAAATGTAAAGGGGTGAGGGAATAGGGAGATATGGTAACATACTAATTCTGTGTTTCTGGAAAACTGCTGTTCATCTTTGTTTAAATGGTAAAAAGCATGCTTACGCAGGACTCTCCAGTGCTCAACATAACCAGGTGTTTTAAGTTGTAAATTAATCGGAAGAGATAGCATTCTCTATGTTTCTCCAGTGCCACACGCAATCCAACATAAAGCTGATTAGTAATGTGTATTCATGAAGATTTGCAATGGCATCATGTTTCCCTTGTGCTTTATCTTGTCTGCAGGCTGCTTACAGAGCTCTTAGGTTGAGTCTGCAGATTGTGGCTGCCCTTCTGGACATCGTCTCATACCTTCTGAGCTTTGCTCAGTTAGGAAACTCCCCAAGCTGTTTTGATACCCTAAATCCTGAGTCTCTGACTGCAGATTGGGGAGGGACCGAAAGGATTGGTAAGTGACAGCCCTTCAGTGTTTGCAGCAAGCTCACTAAATACATACTGCAACTAGAGACTGAGAAAAGTTAAAGGCTGAAAGGGTGCTTTTCACTTAAAAATATATATAGTATATGACTTGATATTAGCTCCAGAAAACACCTTTCTGCCAGCCCCCATATTTTGCTCTTTCAAGGCTTAGATTGATTATAAATTGGCCTAAAATCAAACATGTTCAGTTTCATAATGCTAACACTTCATGTGTTTCATGATCCCAGAGTCCTTTACACACATGAATGAATATGCTGGGCAGCACCCCTGTGAAGTAGGTGAGCAGTTTTGCTCTCATAGGTCAGATGAAGTAATTGAAGTATCTGTTTCATGCACACAGCTCTATGCAATATTTAAGGGACTCCATTGAGACTGCAAGACCTTTTCGCTTTATTTTAAATATGCTGTACCGTACTCAGTGTTGCTGCTTGCAGTCATGAGGTACAGTGTATGCTCAGAGCTGTTGCTCAATTCCTCAAACACATGGATCTTCCTGCAAGCTTCCTGGTGTCACCCTCCATATCATATCACTGCAATTCTTGTTCCAGCTTGCAAGGAACACATCTCCTGCCTTCCCGTCCCATTCTTTAGTTACTATATCTCTTTCTTCCTTCTCCTTCTGTAACCTTTCCTCATCTTACTGTGGAGAAAAGAATAACTACTTGTTTAAACTTTTTTTTAATTGGTTGGAATATCTTATGTCCTATCCAATGACTTCTGTGCTGTACGCTGAAGGTCCTTCAGACAGGAGAAGAGCTCACTTCCCTTGGTGCAGTTGAACTTCAGGTGCCCTTCTTACTAAACCAAAAAACACCTGATGATTTTAGAAATGTTTATATGATGCTGCTGCTGCCATGATGGTCCAAGAGATATGCAAGAGGCATGAATTATTTTTATTGGACCAACTGTATTGTTGGTATAGGTGTATGCAAGCTTTCTGGACCAAATTCTTGTTCCTAGGCAAGAGTGTATTTAACACAGAAATGTTGTAGCATTCTGAGATTCAGTAATGGTTTACAGCAGCAGTTCCCAAACTATGACAGATTGCGCACCACCAATTTAAAATGATATAACCTTAAGTACCACTAGCAAATTTTGTCATATAAATTAATTATAATAAATCTGTTAATGTGTACCACTGACAGGCTGTCTCCATACCACTGGTGGTCTGTGTATCATGATTAGGTACTGCTCATTTACAGGGTTGCCACATATTATGTAAAGTGGATGGGGTTGCTTACTGTATGATAAACCAGAGTTTATAAAAACAAGGCAGTACAGGTGGATGCACTGTTTGTCTTTCCAATGTTATAAAAATTGTAAATAAATACAGGAAGATGAAATACCTATATGGCCTCCTTTGCATAGGAAAAATCCCATGAATGCAGTGCACATGTTCATACTGACAGGAGTACAAGGGTATTTACAGCAGGAACTTCTAAAATTCACAATAGAAAAGCCTATTTAAGTTTTATTCCTTGAGTTTTCACATAATATCATGGTGCAGCATGTGGGACACAGTACTGTTTCCTGGGGTGAAGACATGAGTGAAAGCCTCTTCACCTTCCTCTTTGCAGGCTTTACCTAAGACACTTTTTTGTTGAATGAAAACCCATCTCACTCCTGGCTCCAGGCTTTTCTCAACTCCTTCGCATTCCATTTTGCTCATCTGTAATACCTCTCGAAGAACTAGCCTTTTAATAAGCCACCTTGCTACTTTCTAAAGTGTGGCTCTCCAATGAAAAATGGCTCTATAGTCAGCATATTTAGATTCAGTATTTGTATCAAGATGGCTTTCCTGACTGCCTGCACTCCTAGCTCTGACTAGAATCAAAGAGCCCAAATGTATTCTTTCTGGATCACTCATTACTAAGTACAAGCAACTTTCCTCTTGCAGTAATGTAAAAGCAGCATGTCTCTGTTGGACTCAGGACACTATCCCTAGTTTATAATGGGGGTAAAACAGTGGGGAAAAGGAAGCCAGAAATTCTGCTGGAGAAGCTTAGTTAACAATTCTTCTGATGATGCATGTATATTAGAATTTTGTTGGGTCTCCCACAACTCCATGTTGTGGAGTTTCAATGCAAATGGGGAATAAAGAGCAGAACATTTACCTGAATGTAACTCCAGATCACTCATTGAACAAGTCCCGTAATTACATTCTCATAGCTGTACTTTTAAGTTCTTTGCTCTCAAACTTGTACTTTCTCCCACGTGGAGGCTTTGTCACATGCCATCTTTCTTCTAATTGTCAAGGTATCTTGTAATGCTTTATCTCAGACTGTTCTTCTTGTCTAAGCATTGTCAATTACCTATCAATTGATCCTTTTCAGCAATTTCTGAAATAATTTAAAACTCTCCTGTGTTCCCCAACAGTGTTCTGCAAGGGATGGAACTTGTCAAAAAGTGTTTGGCTAGTGCAAAATTATTGCTAAGGAACCCTCTTTTCTAATTACAGCTGAAATTCTTGAACCTTTCAATACAAAATTTGATTCTTGCAATGCATTTATTGTAGAAGATGACTTGAGTTAGATTTTGGTTTACAAAGGAAAATCATTTAAACTGCTAGCCAAAGAAGTATGCTGCAACTCTTACCAAATGAAGACTTGTACTGCATTAACATGAAAATTTGACCTTGATGTTATTTGTCTGAATGTTTTTGATCCTCCTCCCTTTGTTTTCAATGGCAAAATGATTGTTGTTTTGAAAGGGAGGACTGAGCTCATCATTTTTTCTCTTTTGACATTATATTCAAAGGTAGGCAGAAGCAGAGCAGGGTGGCACCTTTATAGACTAACTTGTTCAGAGAGGCATGAACCTGCTATGGTTAGATATATCTTTGTTATTAGCATGATATTTTGGCATTAACATCTAATGATGTTAGGCTGTAGCCCATGAAAGTTCATGCCTATGAATAAATTAATCTATAAAGTGCCATGCTCCATGCTTAACTTCAGACTAACATGGCTAATTACCTCTCTATTATTGTTAGCGATTATAAGGGAGGAACTAATAGAATCATTCTTTTAAGATCCTTTCATTTGTTATGTTCCCCCTACGCCCCCCACACCCTGACTACATTCCCATAATTCTCCAATTGCCATAATCCAGGGGCGGGCAAAATACAGCCCACAGGCCTCATTTGGCCTGCCAAGCCATTCAT